AGGAACTTTGAAGATACTTGTAACCAAACTGCTCCCTTTCAACCAAGGGAGTAACAACTCAGGATAATTCCTTGTACTTTTCTAGTACTTTTTCCTCGTCTGATTTCAGGGAAGTAACAAGGGTTGACTTTGTCCCGGAAGTCTGCTGGTTTCACTACCTTTTTTGCTAAAGCTTTTTTAGCACACACTAACATTTTATAATACTAGAATTTCCTCTTTGCAGAAGTGGACACTACTAAAAGCATGTGAAGTCTTGGAAACAAGCTAAATGTCTAACAAAAGAAGAATAAATTATGCCATACCACTAATTTAAACAGTCCATAAGGTGATATTGTAAGAGCTGTATTTTTTGCTATAGAGAGGTATTCACAAGATACTATCAAATAAAAAAAAGAGATAATGTATACAAAGAGCTTATTTTGCTAGATATTTTATATGTCTGTATTTTTATGCATAGAAAAATGTTTAGAAGGAGACGCTGCAAAATGTTAACATCTCTGGGTCTTAGGGTTATGGATGATTTTCATCTTTGTTTTCTAAATTTTCTTAACAGATATGCATCACCATAGTACATACATTAAGAAGACAATAAGAACACCCTTTGACCATCTCTGACTCCCAACCTTATCCATAACCCACTATCCTGCACCACAGCAGCTCTCATATACTTTACTTTCCACATTCAAACCACTGTCAGATTGGTGTTGCCTATCAGAGCACCTGATAATCCAGATACCACTCAGACTCAGGCTGGGCAGAGAAGGGTCATAAATTTTCCTCAAAGGCATGAGAGATTTGGAAGGGAAAGTTGCACTCCCCAGATTAGACTCTTTAACAGTAGATTTTTCTGAAGAAATAAAGTCACCAGTTTGTGCTGACATGGGTAAAACAATCCACTGACTTAGCTTACTACAACTTTTGAACCAAATAGACATGCATTCAAATTCTGGCTCTGCCACTTACTAGCTGTGTGATCCAAGGTCACCTAAACTCTCTAGGCTTCAGTTTGTTCATGGATTAATAAATCTTCCTTGCAGAGTCCATAATAATTAGATGGAGATTATATACCTGATACATAATAGATATTCTCAAGAGATGACAGGTATTATTAGTAGAAATATTATTATAATTAAGAATCAGAATACTAAATATAGCCAAGAAGGTTAGCCAGGCAAATCAAATCAGCCTTCTCAATATCACAAGACCCCCATATTCTGGTGCTCAGTGTTGATACCCTCTAAAGGTGATCAGTGTTTGACTCAAGAAACCTTCTGTCCCATACTCTGGAGGGGTCTCTTCTGGACAGGGCATCCAGAGCCAGCCTAAAAGACCTGATCCCTGCATAATTAACTATGCTAAGCAGTGCTCTTGCCTTCTAAACCTCAGAAAGGAGCATTCTGAGCCCTCTAAAGCCAATCCTTATCCTCCGTAAGCCCAACCATGCCAAAGCCATCCTCCTCAACAAAGCCTCTAGGCTCAGGCAGATCACATGATATCCTATACCTGCCAAAAATCTTTCCTGATAGTTCTCTTGTTTCTTCTTAGGGTCTTGAAAGGACTCTTTTGGAGGGAGTGGTCCCTCCTAGAGGAAAAAAATAAACCTGTGACCATAAGACCAATTAACAATGTGCCAAGAATCTAAAGGCCCTTTTCCTTTTGCTTCTCCCTCAGCTTTTATTTTGAAAAATGTGAAAACTACAAAAAGTGGAAAGAATAGTACAGTGTACCCAGACATTCTTTAGCTCAAAAGCTATCATTTTTAGCTATCATTCTGCAACATTTGCTTTCTCTATACAGTAGCCCTCCTTTATTTGTGGTGGATATGTTCCCCAGTGAATGTCTGAAACCATGGATAGTGCCAAACTCTATGTTTTTTTCTTTATATGTATATAACCATGATGAAGTTTACTTTATAAATTAGGCACAATAAGAGATTAACTACAATAATAAGATAGATTATAACAATATACTCTAATAAAAGTTATGGGACTGTGGTCTCTCTCAAAATATCTTATTTTACTATACTCACCCTTTTCTTGTGATGACGTGAGATGATACAATGTCTACGTAATGAGATGAAGTGAGGTGGATGACATAGGCACTGTGACATAGCGTTAGGCTACTGTAAGTGTTTCTTGAACACAAGCACTGTGATACTGCTACAGTCAATCTGGTAACTGAGATGGCTTCTAAGTGACTAATGGGCAGGTAGCATATACAGTGTGGATACACTGGACAAAGGGTTGATTCAGGTCCCAGGTGGGATGGAGCACTAGATTTCATTATGCTACTCAGAATGGTGTGCAATTTAAAACTTATGAATTATTTATGGAATTTTCCATTTAATATTTTCAGATCATGGTTGACTGTGGGTAACTGAAACTGCAGAAAGCAAAACCACAGATAAGGGGGGAACTATTATATACATAGTACACATATATTTTCTTTTTTACTGAACTATTTAAAAGTGAGTTTCAGACATTATGACATTTCATTCCTAAATACTCAAATATTTAGAAGAACAAGGGCATTCTCCTACAGAAAAATACCATTTTTACACTTTAGCAATTAAATATTGATACAATAATATTATCTAATACATAGTCTCCAATTGTCCTAATAGTTTGTCCTTAACAGTTTTTTCCTTCTAACTTGGTTATCATGTCTCTTTAGTCTCCTTTAATCTAGAAGAGTCTCCTGGCTTTTGTTTGTTTGTTTTTATGGCATTAACTATGAAGAATCTAAACCAGTTTTCTTATTGTATGTCCCAGAATTTGGATTTGTCTGTTTTTTCATGATTAGATTCAGATTTAAAAACTGGAAACATACAACATAGGTTATGTGGTACAGTTCTCACTGTATTACAACAGCAGGCGTAGATTTGTTTGTCCATTATTGGTGACACTAAGTTTCATCACTTGGTTAAGGAAGTATCCATCAGATCTTTTGCTGGCTATGTTTTGCAATGATCAAAGGGCCTTAAGCCCATAGGGTAGCCGGTTATGTCCTCCTGTGTTGTGATTTCTTGCCACCTTCTTAGAAGGCAACCTAATATTCCCCTTGAGACAGCAGAGGCCAGGTCAGGAGGAGTACTAGGCCCAGGTCAGGAGAAGCATTTATAAAAACTCTATCTGAAATACTCCTAGAGCCCAGTACTTCACTGTCAGACCTAGCACAGAATATTCATGTCAGAAGAGTGGTGGGGTTCTCTGTGATCATACAGTGACAACAGAAGGCTCTTAGGACAGCAACACCCATTCATAGATTGGACTCGATTTCTGGGAAGTCCTACTGGCACTCCTGGCCTCCTACTGGCCATAAAGATTATCTCACTGGCCAGTGAGTTCTGATGTCTCATTCCCTTGGGTTGGCAATACTAAGACACAGTCCAAAATCTTATACTGGTGTTGTGTGTTCAATCTTCAGTTTATCTCTATACAGTGAGTTTCCAGGCTCATCTGATACAAAAACTCTGTATCTCTCATCTGCTTTCCTCAATAACCCCCAATCTTTTTAAAAAATAACCCCAATCTTTATGAAAGGCCAGGACTTAATGGCTACAACATCACCTCAAGTAACCATTTTCTTTAAAAATAATGCTGTCATCTGGTGTAAGGAATCACAGGTAGATGACTCAAAACCAACTCATTAGGGGCAGACTGACTTACCTTGTGTACCAATATAAGCATTCTTCTGCTTGTAGCCATCCATGAAACTGGCATTGATGTAATCTGTCTAATGATAAAAAGAAAATATTACTGCAGCTGCATGGAATACACAATTTGGGTGGGAAAATGATGTACTAGTAGGTAAATAAAACTCAAGGTGTGCATATTCTCCTGTGAGGAAAAAAATGAGAAGTGAAAGGGCCAATTCAAAATCTCATTTTCACAAATGTTGCTGGAACAACTGGATGTTCACATGCAGAAAAAAGGGGTGTTGCGGAGCGGGGGAATCAAGTTGACCCTTTCCTTACACCATACACAAAAACTAACTCAAAATGGATCACAAATTTAATATGTAAGAGATAAAACTATAAAACTAAGAATACATAGGATTAAATCTTTTTGACATTGGGTTAGGCAAAGCCTTCTTAGATGACACCAAAAGTGCAAGCAACAACAAAAAATATATATAAATTCAACTACATTAAAATTGAAAATTGCTTCAAAGGATACCATCAAGAAAGTGAAAAAAAAAGCCCCACAGAATGCACATATTTGATAAGAGATTTGTATCTAGAATATATAAAGAACTCTTACAACTCCGTAGTAAAAAGACAATCCAATTTTAAAATGGGGAAAATAGCCATTTCTCCAGTGATGCACAAACGGCTAACAAGCACATGAAAAGATGCTCAAAATCATTAGCCATCAGGGAAATGCAAATCGAAATCACAGTAAGATACCATTTCACAACCACTAGGATGGCTATAGTCTATGGGTAAGAGATAGACAACAAACATTGGCAAAGATGTGGAGAAACTGGAACCTTCATTTGCTGCTACTACTAGTGTAAAATGGTGAAGTCACTCTGGAAACAGTCTAACAGTTCCTCAAAATGTTAAATACAGTTACCATGTGATCCAGCAATTCTAATCCTGAGGGAAATGAAAACATATATCCATAGAAAAACTTACATACAAATATTCATAGCAGCATTATTCATAATAGCAGCATTATTCAAAATAGAAACAAATGGTATTCAATTGACAAATGGATAAATATTGTGTGTGTGTGTGTTTATCTCCATACAATGGAATATTTAGCAATAAAAAGGAGTGAAGTACTGATACATGCTACAACGTGGATGAACCTTGAAATCATGCTAAGTGAACAAAGTCAGACATAAAAGGCCACATATTGTATGATTACATTTATATAAAATGTCCAGAATAGGGAAATCTATAGAAACAGAAAGTAGCTGGGTTGGGAGTGACTGGAGCTTCTTTTTCAGGTGATAAAAATGTTCTAGAGTTGATTGTTGGTGATGTTTGTACAACTCTGTGAATACATTAAAAAACCATTGAATTATATACTTTAAATGGGTAAATTGTATGGTATGTGAATTGTATCTCAATGAAGGTGTTATTTACAAAAACCAGAGTCCACTAAGACTTGTGGTACCACAGCTCAGAATCAAAAGGGAGGCAAGCCAAGCAACCTGAGCAAACATCCCATCAATGCTGCCATACTGTAACTAAAGAAGGAAGAAAACTGTAGCTCATATCTAGAACCATCAACAACATGGGCCACACACACAAGTTCTATTACTACCTGAATATTCAAAAGAAACTATGACTAATGGCTTTTAATTCCAGGAGCAAATCTGATAAACAATCACTAATAAACCTGAATCCTCCATTTACTGTGGAATCAAAGCCTCTGCCAATGTTGGCAGTAATGAGAGGGGTTAAAACTCAAATGATGATCTTCAGATTAATTACAGGATGACTAAAATAGTCTCCTGGTGCACTGGGATTCACTTATTCCTACACAAATAATTTACTAAATGTCTGATATATACCAGACACTGTTCTAAGTATTGAAGACAGAGCAGTCAACAAGACAGATAAATACAGATATCTCTGACTCCAAAGCCCCAACTTAACCATCATACTCTACCTGATCATAGCATATACCATCACAATTTCAATAATACTGATGAATTTGCCCTCAATCTTCCAGGCTCTTAGCTAATGTGATGCTAAGGGTCCTGGACAGGGAATAAGATTTCAGTTTATGTGCTTTAAACAGTATGGTCAAAAGAGAATGAAATCATGATCCTAGGATCCTGACCCTTGAACCATATACGAGGCAATGATTTTCCAAAAAATTATCCACAAGAAAAAAAGAGAGGGGATATAACAAATCCCTATAATGTGTAGCATCACCTCAAGTAATTAAATTCTTTTAATTTGAATAGCAGCCACAATCAATACTGGTTTTTTTGATGCATACAGAGGTCACCAGACAAAAGTGGTATATCAGAAGGAAAAAGGAAAATGTGTAATAACTATTTAGTCATGACCTCAAAATTCTAAGTGTTAGGTATTGCTATAAACAAGTTATATTAAGGAGGACTTTAAAAAGGAATAAGTGAATGATTATTCAATAGAGAATGCATGAAATACAGGATAAATGAAAAGAAAAAACTGTGCCGATGTTATTCTAATAGATTTTTCTGTTATTCTAATAGATTTTAGTATAAGATTTTCAGTGGCATACCTATGCACTTTAAAAGGAAATAAAAACTGCTCAGGAAAACTGTTAGACTGACTTAAAAAGTAGATCAGAGGATGGGAAAAAATGGCATAGATGATGATATAGAGGCTTTGTTCATCCTTCTTGCAACCAAATCAAAGTTGTGACAGAAAAACAGTGCAAACAGCAAACAAAGTCACCTGGGATCCAGATGAATAGAAGCACTACAACTAGGGAGAGAAACAAGAAATCACCCTGTAACTGTAGAAGGTAGGAGGGGGCGAAGATGCCCTGTCCTGAGCAGCTAAGTGGGACAGAGGCTGTGGTAGCTATAGCAGGTAGCTGCAGATGCCTCTTAAGAGGCCATGTCTGTGAGTGGATTTTTGCAGTGACGGACCTGCTCACTCTGAGCACCAGCAGCACCAGGTCGGCTGCTCAAGGGGCACCAGGGACATACAAGGAGATACTGAGTTGTCAGACTGAGGGCCAAAGATGAGGCTCTCTCTTGGGCAGGAGTGCTGGCGGTATCCATTGTTCCTCTGTTGAGCCCTCCCCGCTCCCAGTGTGAGGACTCAGCACCATCATAGCCCAGAAGATTCCCTGAAACTCCGTCTCCCCCAACCAACATCCAGGTGTGTCCTCGGTGAGTCCAGGGCTCCTTGCTGAGCCAACTCCAAGACTCACACTGGTGGTAGCTGACCACGGTTTCTGGCGCGGCCTCTTGAGGCAACTATAAGCACAGCATCTGTGGATTGCTTGCTGAATCTTAACAGGTGGCCCAGAAGGGCACAGCCTGGGGCTAAACTTGGCCTGCAGCTGAATCTCTCTCAGGACTGTGCCACTGGACACCTACTACACAAAGTCACGCTAATAAGACCGGGAAACTTAGGAGCTTTGCTTAGTACATAGAAACAGACACGGAAAGGCAGCCAAATTGGGAAGACAAAGAAGCAAAAACCATATGAGAGAACAAAACGGAAATCCAGAAATAATGGAGTCAAGCAATCTAACAGATGCAGAGTTCAAAACACTGGTTATAAAGATGCTCATTGAATTTAGGG